CGCCATTATATATATATATATATATATATATTTATATATATATATATATAATAGGGTGCTTTACTGTCTTTATTACAGCAAAACCGACTTAATCCCTCCAAAGCAACCATTCTCTATGGTGATTGCTTTAGGTCTCGTGAAATTCTCGTTCTTATCTTGGACTTGCATCGAGACTTCTTGTAGCGCTATGTATTAAGACTGTGTACACACCTGAGGATCTGCATGGTTTCCTAGTACTCCAAGGTATGCGGGTATCTACTCCATCTATAACTTCAACCGTGCTAGGTCTACCGTTTCCAATGGGGTTCGTAGACAGTCGTTGAAAGGGTGTGCAGTTGGCTTGGTTTTTAAATTGTATTTTGAGCAGCTTGCATTTTATACTCAGATGAAATCCAAACTATGGGGATTTTACCGTGAATAGCAAATGCTGGTGAAGTGTCGATTTAAGTGGCGTGGAAAGTCGGTCTGTTCAGGTTTTCGGAATCAAACCTAACACTGTCGCTCGGTGGTGGCCTGTTCTACTGTTAGGGCTTTGGTGCTGACCTGCCCGTTGGTCCCTGGTCTGTTCACTGATGTCAGTTGTTTGAATGAAAATGTTTCATTGCCAATCGCGTTCAATCTAACTGCACAGATGACTCAACGACCGGATCAACTGCTACCCATTATCAACCTTCCGTTTATCAGTGAGCCTATCCATCATAAGACTATCGTTTCTTTCCACAGCAACTTGAGATTGGGTGGAGAGGAGACTCAAGTTTCTTCCTCCTGAAGTCGTTTGAGTGTATGGTTCGGTGTTCATGTCGTTATGGTATTCTGATGTTTATTACCATTGCGAACCACCGCTAGTTTGTTGTCAGGTTTCCAAATGAAGCGAAGAAATAGGCTCATATCCTTGCTCACCCAGTTCCTGATTAATACCATGGTTTCTCACACCGTTGTCGTGGTAAATACTATCTATCTGACATGCTCATTTTCACTTATCTCTTTCCTTTTCTCCACAAAGAGTATCGTGTTCATCGAATGTACCCTGCCGATCCCACCGGTGTGTACGCTCCGCGTATATTGGAATTCGGTTTCTCTTGCTGTAACGAGTACGTTCTTTTCTTCATAACGAATCACCTGTCTGGTTTGTGTAGGAAGAAAGTTGGAGAGAATTTTGTCATTGTTTTCACGGACGCTCAGGGAACTCTTGAGTTTGTTTTCTGCCATTGGCCTAACACCCAACTAATATTATGCATTTCCAGGTGAGTGTAACTGTGTTTGATTATTCTATTTTGTGCATAAATTTGATTCATTGTCCGTGACTTATACAAACGTCTGACAGACCAATCACATCACTGAAAAGTTAACAAGTCCGCCCTCTCAAATGTGATGGTCCAGGTTCGTCCATCGTGCACTGGTTGATTAGTGACGATATGTCGCATGTCAGATGTTCGGACACTCAATTCTTTAATTCGTAGCTCCAAGCTATTGATCACAGGATCATACGTTCACCTGTTAACAGTTTGATACTGATACATGTCAGATTTTTCTCTACCGATCCAACTAGTCCTAATCAGTACATCATGTGATTGGGATTTTGGGATCTGATTATCATAGCTTCCACACCTCAATGTTTAAATCGCACCGATTGGTTTCCTGTTATGTTTGAGTCTGGATTGATAAAATATTAGCCACTGTACACTTGAAACAAAGTTGTTTTGAATTTATCCTACCTTACTTGAATAGCAATTGTTTTTCCCATGCTGAATTCTAGTTAGAGCAATGTCGCTTGTAATTTTCGTATGCACCAAGCTTAGTGGCCCCTCAATGTTCGGACCTCGAAAATACACTGGGGGCAAAATCACTCACGGGCGAATTTGCGGACCAAAAGGTCCGCGGTTCCAACCCGACCTCTGTATCTCGACTTCTGTCTAGGCTTCGGCAGCCTGGCAGTATCCCAACCCTCGTGCTTCTTTCGGGTGTCATGGCAGCTAGGCACCGAAAGTGCTTTACAGCTGAACGATAGAAAAATCCACCTGGGGACGAGGAGTAGGTCACCGATGGTGCTAACAAATATATGAGAAAAGCAGGAATTTCGTATCAGGGACGGGGGACATTGCATGTACTAACGGTGTTCCTTCAAGGTGGCAGTCTTTCGGGACCAGATGAAAAGTGTTCTCAGCGGGTGCTCTTTTCGGAGTGTTTGTTTGCAGAGTATCCTTGGGCATTGGAATTTATTCACCCGCCAGGCAGCCAACTGGATGAAAATCATTGCTAGACAGTTACCGGAGTTGTAGACAGCCCTTAAAAACGCACACGAGTTCTCTTTACGTGACTCACTATCTATAAAGTTGCTAGAAACTTTTCGGTGACCCTTCTCGAACACTACATGCACATTTATCGTATTACAGTTATCCGGTTAGAAAACTGCTGAATGCTTTTCTTCGAATCTCTGAACTGTATCCCATGAGACGTTCTCAAAAAGGTATTAGACCAGTACGAATGGATTAAAAGGACATCTGATAAATGTTTAGAGTTACATTGTTTTCTCTCGTCATAACTGTAAGTCCTGGAAGAGTATCAGGATGTCCGTGGGATTATGTGTTTTGTGTGTCCTGTTCGGACGCCAACACGCGACCGTTCCCCGGTAGGCGAATGTAAAGCGGACCGTCATCGTTGGCTGCTGGTGCTTTGCCTCGTTGCAATCCCGACCACTTGTGTGGACATTGCATTTTGCGAAAGCAAGAGTGAAATCGGCAAGAAATGGTGTTTCTCAGTTTTTTCCACGTGGTTGTCTTCACCTCGTGACCACAGGTGCAGCAAATCACCAAACCCATCAGATCAGATGTCGCGAATTGACTACATCTGTTGCGCCAAAAACAAAACGAGCACAGTATGTATTTAATATGGAACGTTGCTAGCTTAGGTTGTGCGTTGATGGTTGAGTTGTCTGCTGGGCTTAGAAATTCTGTTGCAAACGTTTCGCCACCAGTCGGTATGACATTGTTATTGCTTGATGATGTAGCAAAGAGTAAGTAATGAGTAAGAGTAAGTATTAAGTAATGCCGGGACTAACTTATGCTGCCATCTCCATTAGTGGTGAGACGTTTGCAACAGACATACCCAGCTCAGCGAACAATTCGGTTAGCAGCAGCAGTCCACACTCCACAAAATCCTGTGTGTTTTGAGGAGGAATAATTCATTTTCAAGTCATCGCCGTCCGTCACAACCAGTCCACATTCTTTGGTCCCTCACGGGAACCAGAATGCTGTGCTTTGTTCTTATCCCGAGTTCACCAAAATGTGCCAATCACCAGTTAGCTTACTGTTAGTTCTTCGGGACGAAGCCCCGAACCATGGTCAACCCGGCCCAAGTCAATCGCTCTAGAGGGGTGGACCTTGTCATGAGTGGTGTGGTCTGGCGCCTAGCTTTGTATACAAATATTATCAACGTAACATTTACGCTGATTGTTCGATTTCCTGAATGGAATAATGTGGATGGTGGCGTCGGAACGAATTTGCCCTAGAAATCGCTGCTAGAGACTTGTGAACTCAGTTTGTCGTGATCATGCCATACATTTTAATGATATGTATATGTAGCTCTGTGGCCAGGTTGTCGTTGTAAACAGGCACGTTGTGTAGGGGTTTGACTGTAACATGTAATTGTGGCTAACATGTGACCGGATGAAAGAGCATTGTCATAGCAAACAATGCTTGCGATACTGGCTCATCGTTACAAGCCAACTTGTGATGGAGTCCGACGTGAACCGGCATCACGAGACTACCTGAGCAATTTACATATTGCTTCAGGGATTTTACTTGTATTGCTTCGATGCGCACATTATCATTATCATCATCATCATCATCATCATCATCATCATCATCATCGACAGCATGACATCAGTGTTCAACACCGATGCTTCACTGCCGTACGATGCACACATGATTGCTGAACATGTTTTATCGCCTATAGGTCATCTGTTTAACCTGAACTTCGTGGCACAACATTTAGATCTCGCTCGTTGCTTAGTTCACTGAGCAGTGGATCGCCTGAAGCTATCCGATTTTTGTCAGTAATGCTTTTACAATGATGATGGCGTTATGGGCAAGGCACCAAACGCCGCGTATACCCCAATACCATTTTTCCTTATGTTTACGAATTATGCATTAATTGGGACAACTTGGATAAGCGTACGGCGGCGAAGCATCGGTGTTGAACACTGATGTCATGCTGTCGATGATGATGATGAGCGTACCACGTTGCTAGTTTAGACTGAAGAACGCTCTCAATCTAATATGCTACGTGTATATTGAGTCCGTAGTATTGGTGAGCTGGTGAGCTGAGGCAAATAACCTCAATGCGCTATCCAGTTTTCATTTGATGTAGTCAAATCTTTTGCAAAAACAGGTAACAAATTCAGTGGAAACTATGGAGCTATTTGGGCTCTCAGTTCCTGTTTTGTTTTCCAGAGATTCCGACATTGGGGACTTAGGCCCTTACAGTGTGTAGTGAAGCCCACCATGCAGTGATACCCATGATGTTAGTGTGCAGCACTTGAAGAAACATTGATCCCATTCTGAAGCCTCTCACGATTTCCTCAAATTAACGCATGTCCTCGCAAAATGAATGATTAGCCGACGTGAAGCACGCTACTCAGATGTCTACAGTAAGAGTGCCAGATTAACCAGATTCTATTCGGTGGGCAGTACGTCCAGTTGTTTGTTAAATTAACCCGCTTGCTTGGAAGAAAACTACGCTTTAGGACCCTAAGAACTCCTGGATCGCACTGTCATCTCTAGTAGTCAGGTGTTTAGAAAATTTAAAAGGGCTCTACGGGGAAAAAAACTGAGGTAGTGCTTAGCTTTCTAGAGGTTGTCGACCATCAAGCTTCATCAGTTAACAACCGTCTCTATATCGATTCCTTTTGGAATAGGATCACTAGGCGCTGCAATCACTAGGGTTAGCCTACTTTTACTAGAACCGCATTGGCAGTGATTTTTTGGGTTGTACTATGACGGGCTTTTTGTACCCGAAATCGTGGTTGTTAGTGCTTCGTTTAAATTCTTCACTGTTGGTAGAAACTCGAGGATTGGGTTGATTAATACCATGCACAGCAGCAACCACTCCGACACTGTCTTGCATCAGTGTATTCTTCTGATCCCAATTCTGGATACGCGTTGGTGTCTCCATTTTCTAAGAACGGCTTTTCTAAGCCCAGGGAGTACACTGTTCAGATCACCCGATTGCAACCTCGATAACGGTGTACCCACCCTCAGGAAATATGTACATCTTGATATTTTATTGAAAGTATTGACGGTGCTGTTGATCTCCGCCTGGGTATTGTGTCGTCGTGCTTCAGTGGAATTGTTATAATAATGCGATTACCAGCATACTATACTCGCTCAGGTTGGAAGCTCTTTTAGGGTCGATTATTTTCAACCAACGTTGTTGAACAACAGTGGTTGCCTCCTGCGCCGCTTGTTTAGTGCCATCAGATCCTATAGGAACAGACCCAGTTCCGATGGTACATCCGTTTCTCATCACTTATTGGGTACTCGTCTGAGACGGTTGCGCATTCATCTATGGGCTACGACCGATCGATTGATTTCGATCCCTTAGGTGGAAGGCTACCGAGTTCCAACGGTATGTTCGAACGACAGCAAATGTGCTGCCATTCGATTTGCTCCCATCGATCAGTAGTCTCCACCAAACCAGGGAAGTTGTGGTTGCTTCGATCCAGTTGCCGAACGTCTTCATCCCAAGCTCTTACTCCTTCTTGTTGAACAGTGCCGACGTTGTCCCCGTACAGTGATTAGAATGTCACCAGAAATTTAGGACAAAAGTTCAGCAACAGTATGTGTAAGGTGGAGCTGATCCGAGGCTACAAAATTTCGCTGATTCACTGTAATCTGAATTAATGAGATCGTTTTTACTTCCAATTACGAATGCACTTAGCTAAGCGCAGTGAATGTTACGTGTCCGTGAATTTCGGTTAGCTGAACTAAGTCTAAACCTTAGAAGTAAAAAGGTTGTTGCTACATTCCAAAATACCACTAAAACCGACTCAGTACATTTGTACTCGTTCATCCGTATATTTGATCTATGTTTTTTATTGATCCGCATATTATCGCAGATGAAGATGACAGTTGTAACGGGAGTGCTTATTTAGGTTTGCTGTGACAGTCACAACTCGAGTGTCGGTTCGTTGCAGCTCTTGAGACTAGGTGAGCCATCCATCTCTCTTTCCTGGTACTCCTTTTCTACATTTGGTTGCAGAATATCCCATCGAGTGACCGTAAAGATTATCCTGACGGTTGACACATTCTGAACCGCGTGGCTACTTTTTAGGGTTAATGCCAGGACAGCCGGGAATACGAATAAAACGGCGGTCAGTAAAGCAACAGCACAAATCAGCAACAAACAGAGAGTGTGAAGTAAAGTGCTTCGAGTGGTAAAGGTCACTCGATGGGGGATCGAAAGGATGTGAAGGGGGACTAAGTAATTTTCAACCGTTTTCAGTGGTCACGGTTGGAATTCTTGTTTCCAAGTTTGTGACCACAGGTAGTGTCATTTGGGGTCGCTCGTCTCACTGCTTTCTGGGGCGGGCATCGTATGTTGGAAGAACTTCAAGAATTAACCCTCAGCTTACCGTTTATCAGTGATTTCTCACAGATCTGCCTAACTGTTCTTAACGTGATTTTGGGCATGATTGGATGCGATATCGGCCAACGCAACTGTTACTTCGTTGTGTTGAACATCAGTCTAATCGAACCCAGAAGCAGCCTTTCCACCGCACACTTTCTCGGAGGAATATTACAAATAATTTCTTATTCACACCAGTTGATACACAAAATGCCAGAACAACTTACGGGCGGATTGTCGAAGCTGTGCGCTTATCGTCAACTGTAGTAGAACTTCAGGGTCCAAGCCAGCTCTTACGCGCAGCCGACCGGCGGTCCGAAACCTCTTTTAAGTGCACAGATTATAGACACTTGTTGAGAAATCCACTTCGTCCGACACAAGTTCATATACCCAGCTGGGTGGTGTGCTGATGCATGAACGTGTCTCCAACTATGCACGGGGCAGCAGCTAAGCCATGAAAACCTCACTCCCTTATTCACGATGACGATGTTAAGCTCACCCAACCGTTATATATTGAGGGCTAAACTAACCCTTTGTTTTCTCTTGTCAACCTATACAGACCGTTTGTTTTTCGATATACAAAGTCAGAAGCGAAACAGCCACATCTCTGCATTTTTCCGCTCTGCTCAGCTCTCTTCGCATCGTCTTGGTGTGACATTTTAAAATGAATAGTGGTAGCTTGTCACCCGATTGAGATTGCCTTCTTGATTAACGATGAAGAACCATCATCAAGTAAATGTTCCTCATAAGGCATCTTTTGTACTACGTTCTGAAAGTATTTTGCAGCTTATTGGGATACTCTCGGAGAACATTTTTGGTTCACGGAAGTCATTCCATCTAGAGTTTTCTCGCATGTTAAGGAATTTACCTACTGCTGCGGGACTGTCATGTGAATTCAATTGGTAATCAGGTTCGTATGATGTCACCAGGACCCGATCATGATATTCACGTGAAATGCACACGTGAACGGTGCAGTTGCCGGTGTCTACTATGAACTGTGTAACAGTAACTTTGCCGTCACTACTGTTAGCATATGTCATGCGACAGTCTGAGAAAGGGTCACTGCTGTCGGTGTCTGCTCATGTCATGGCAGCACCCGAAAGCAGTTGCACTAAAAAATTAGGCTGTTTTGGTAGCTCGGGCTGGTTGTTGGTCTGTTCACTTGATTTGGTAATTAGCTTGCAAACGTTTTGCGACGGAACGTTTGCAAACCAATTACCCAGCTGGACAAACGGGCTAACAACCACCTTAGTCAACTACCAAACCGAGGCTCTCGCCGCTGGGGAGAATGAGGATGACTGCAGCTGATCGGTCTGACCTGCTAAAATTAATCAGTAACTGGGATTTCGTTCAGTAAGTGTAGGTCTTGAAATTGTTGAACATCCTCCATCCAACAGCACATAAACTCAATCCTTGTTGCTTTACACCATCCAGGTAAACACGAGTGTGTTGTGGTCAAAGTGGCCACAGTTTATTTTTTTCCGGCACATCATTGTGCCTAGAAAACGCAGTGGTTAAAGATAAAGCGTTTATACATACTGCTAACTTTTTAGAGCATAAAGTTACGGATCCGTTTCGAAGACAGCCACATGTTTCCGGAGACATCGGTATCGGAATGGTCCTTAAGGAATGGTCATGTGTTCACGGTAGCGTTAAGGGCTGTGAATTGACAGTCGCTGCATGCGGCGAGCACGAGTTAAGCTTGTGTGACGGAAGACAGAAATCTCCTACTCGGTTGAAGCATGTAGTAAGAAAATGATCCACCGATTTCATCCCAATTATCTTTGATATTGGGAGTGCCGCTGCACGCTAGCAACAAGTTTTTCTTTCACCACCCACTGAACTGGCAAATTTTGAAGGGTTATCTCCTACTTCCTTTCTGTTAAAAATATGAATGAATCCTTCAGAGACGATTCATTGAACACTTCCTAACAGCTGACTTCTTTTCGAAACAACCCCGCTTACCCTAAATTTTTACCCCGCTATGGGTACGTTGTATACTTATGTGATGATGGTTTCTGCACTCTAGAATGTGTTGTCCGTCGCAAAATTAGTCACATTTCCTCAGATAGTCTCCTTAACAGTGTTTCTGAACTACAAATGGGACCTGTTTGTGAATAATGGATTCTTTTACGGTTTGGTTGAAGAAACGCTCACTATCGTCGCCTCATGTATGCGACTAAAATAGAAATATTTTCCCTTCGTCTTTCCTCTGCTCCTAGTATCGGTTGTTCTGGAACAGCACAATCACAAACGTAAAAAACAAGTGTCAACGATAGATGTTGAAGGATGTACAGAAGGACATTGAAGAAAGTCCTGCACAGCTGTTATAGTAATGTATTTGAGGGAAGGGGGACAAAGGAGTTTTCTAAAATCATTGAGTTTTACGTGGGCTGTCGTCCAATCAGTAGTCAAATGGCCCCTGTTCTTGTTTCCGCACAAGAACGCTGTCTGAAATTGAGGCTGTTTATGTTTCGAAAAGACAACAGGAAATCTCCAATATTTAGTTACTATGCGGCGAGGAACATTAGTACCTCGGAAAATCGACTTCAGGTCCAGGGACTTTTCAAGATCTCATTAGGGTTATCTCATGTTTTGACATGTTTTCCTTTTCTTGTTCGTACTTTGGTTACGGGATAACGATTCTTGTCAATATTCTAGTTGCTCTGGTTCTCGGTTCTAATAAAAACAATAACTTGTGTTTGATTCGATCTTCTCACAGAAAAGAAGCTAGTTCTTCAAGCTTTGCTAGAGTAAATGTCCATTGGCACAGCCCTCCAATTTATTCTGATAACGCGGATACAACTTGCGTAGGCTTTGTCGAGCCTAATGGACATAGCGGCGATTATCTGTTCTCTGATTACTCTGGTGATGCTCCTACCTGGCAGCTGGTCTGCTGTTGTAGCTCACCACTGATGGACTTTCGGGCTACATGTGATAATGGCGGCATCGTATTCCTTAGTCGTATCCTCTATAGGGGATCATCTTTCCAGGTAGCTGTTGCCACCCTACGTTTTATTTTGAAGGCTGTACAATCGTTTGACCTAAAAAGTTCGAAAATTCCCGACCTCACACCGCTATCCCATGGCCTTTAGTAATGACCTCCTTCCCACCAAGTCGAGGGATACAATGTATGCCGCAGCAAATGAAGCCAAATCGAACGTGTTAACCTGATTTTCACAGAACCCGTACATTCTCAAGACGAATGATTTCTTGGAAGTCATTGAGTGCTCTTTAGCTTATAAACTACCTTTTCACTCTAGTACAGGATTTCGCTGTGATAACTAGAATATTCAACAACGTTTGTTTCGAATCTTTGGTGGATGTGGAAACAATTGGGGAAAAGGTCAACACTGTTAATCTGCATTTTTCAGGTTGAGTATGCGCACACAAAAGTCACTCTTGCTGGGCTGGCGTTCGGAGCTAAACCGGCTCGTGCTGGTGGGTAGAAGGCAGTGCAGAGATTGGTGGTTGTGTTTGGGGTCACATACTTTGGAACGAGTTATTGCCATTGCAGTGAAAAAAATCAATAAATATGCACAAGTCGTCTGCAACCATCAACCATCAGTAACCCTTACTTGATCCATGTGTATCTCTGTGGTAGTGGTTGGTTTAAACCCAGATGATAGATGCTCACGAAAGATATCAACTTCAGGAGCGGATTTTTCGGTCAGTTCTCTGTGGCCGCAGATCTGGGTCTTTGTGTGGAACTCCGTCGCACGTACCTTTTACGCCCGGCTGAGCGCATACAGAATGACGTCATTTCTCACCTTTCGACTAACCTCCAAGAATGAAATTCGTGGCTTAAACGTTGCGTCTCAGTGCTAGGCCCTGGTCCTTCATTTTTGGAGCAGTATGAAAATCAGAATGCAAACCGAAGGAACTAGACCCGGGTGGCTAAAACAGATATACTTCTCTTATCCGCAGCACAAACTTCTTGAAGTGAGTGCACGTACATGTTTGACACGAACTCGGCTCGTGCTCCAAACGGGACCTCTTCCTAAAATGATATTTCAGTATTTTATCGGCTATTAGTAGTGAGCAACTCGTGAACCATTTATGGATGCAGTTACCCAGGTGTTATAAACTGTTTGTGTGAATACCACATCTTACGTAGCACACTGTAACTGCATTCCATTTAGTCCATCCCATCTCCACATAGATTACAGCTGGTTGAATGCGAAACATGCAAAACAATTACTGTACTCTATCATTTTCCTTCTAGTGCTTTGCCGTGGTGTGCTTGTTTCCACGGTCTCCTCGATATAATCAGTCGCAACGAACTCTATCGGGAATCTCGCTGGCCAGCGTTTCAGCCTTTTCTATCACGTCTTCTGTCCACTCGACCACCACCACAGCCGATTGATTATGTCACGTGTCAAGACCCTTTCAGTGTCAACCGGGTGAGCAATTCACTTCATATACTGCGCAATCGATCGCAAATGCGCCACGCGCGCCAAATTCTGCTGCACCCCACTGTGCTGTTTATGGTGATTTTTACCAACATAAAAAACGTCTTGTTATTAGAAAATTTTGTCCGCTAATGTTCAGGTTTTTATGGTGTACCTCTTATATGCACTTTCTCCATAAGTTGTGACTGTTTGCATCCGTTCTCACTAGTACTACTACTACTACTACTACTACAGTACGTTCATATCAGTTTGGTTTTCCACTAATATCCGAAGAGTTTCACTCGGTCATAAAACGTTCAGAACTGACTTGAGGTTCAGGAAAGTTTTACCAGCAATAAATCTACCGCTTGTTTCTCCGTTACTTGACGTTCGCCATGTTGAACTATTTTTATGTGGCCAATTTATAGGCTGGTCGTTTTTTCACAACGGCACGTTCTTCTTCGTGACAGACTGTCATGCGGAAACTTACGATCCACTGTTGGGCGAATGACACTTTCGTACGATGCTAGCACATTTGAACCGTGAGCGGAGTTGATGTTTTACGGGGCATGATTATTCATTTCGGGTTGCTTACTTAAACGAAGTTTTCTGCATGAGTACAACTGCAGCTTCGCATTCTAGAATCAGTCTCGATCCCCGGATGCTTGGTTCTTTGCAAGAGAGAAATACACGCTATTTGTTTTGGAAGGAATCGACTTCTTTCATTGCCGTTCGCACATAGAATTAACTTTTTTTTGGATCGGACCTCATTTATTAGCCGTGTGCATCGTCTGCCGCGCAAGGGCAACTACGTTGAGCATGTCGGTGCTGGTGCCCCAGCGTACTTAGCCGCAGTTCTGGAATACCTCGCTGCTGAGGTTTAGGAATTGGCTGGTGATGCTGCCCGTGACAGCCAGAAAACTCGCATCAACTCTCGTCACTTGCAACTTACCAGGAACCACTCGTTCATGCCTTATAGTATCCTTGTGATCTCGTAATGGTATTTGGTACATTCTTTCGAAATATCACCTTCCATTAGGCATTCCAAAGGTCTAGCCGTTGTTTTGGTGGCTTTACTCTCTCACACCCTATGTTTAGGGGGTTATCAGTGAGCTATATGTATCGCTGAACCACCTATTGCTCTCTTTCTTAATGTACTTTTCGCATATATTCTCCCACTCGTAGCACCTGAAATTTCGGATACCCTCGTCAAACTCGCCGCACAATCTGGTAAGCAACTCCGAGTAAATGGATCATACTTTTCCTATCAACAGAAGTATGTGATGGAGTACTACAATGCACTGGACGTCTCCTTATGGATTCATGTTTTTGTTTGGTACGTTTCAGAGTGTATTTTCTAATCACTCCCGTTCCTTTTTCAACGATAAATTTCGATCCCCGAGTTTGACAAGTTCAGCTCCAGAATTACAACCTGAAAACGTGTTTGAAACCAAACCTAAACGTGACTAGTATTTGAGTCGTTTGGCCTCGCTTAAGCATGTTTTTGTGTTAAATATACTCGTCCACCTGAACACATTCCTTCTTTGAGGTAGCTCAGTTTCACCAACCTTCCAGTCGGACTCCTTGGCAAAACACCGAAAATGACCCCTTCCAGATCGTGTCTAAGTGTTCGTTTGTAAGGACCAATTGAGGGACCCATCAAGATGTTCCCTCTGAGAGGTAGTTTCTTCCAGGAGTAACGTATTTTTCGAAATTAGCTCCAAGGGTCCAAACCAGTTTAGTTTCTCCTGAGGTCTGGAAACAACCGTACCACCAATGGAAGTCACTATTCTCTAATAACTTTCAACTTTTTACAGCTTTCAGCTCACGTCACTCAATGTTCTGCACGTTTGTTCGGTATGTTTGGATGTCTGTCATGGTGGTTTTGTCCTTCAGCAATATTCTTTTTCGGTGATTGGATGATTCTGCATCCCAGTCTCATTAGGAGACATTTGCTGATGACAGTCTCTGTGCCGAAAGTGATAGTAAATTTGGTCTTCAAAGTGCATCGATTATCACTGATGGTCTTTTGTCGTCCTCCGTGGTATTTTAATTCTGCTTATGGAAAGTCTTTGTGCGATGCTTGAGTGAATGCACTTTCCGTGTGGGAGGAATTCGTTCATCATTCAGCCTTTAAAAGCTCGAAAAAGCAGTCAGCGACCATAAAGTTCATTATCACCATCATTGTGGACAATAACACATCAGTGGTAGAGACTGGTACTCAACGTCCATAAAGTTAGAGTCCACAATCTCCGTCCGGTTGTCGTCTGCAGTGAAGTTTATGATAATCATGTGTAACTGGGTCTGGTGTAATGGAGAGGGGAGCGGTGGTGATGAAATCTAGATATTCATGCTTGAATGTAACGGGACGCAACGCTTCATTTGAGGCTCACTGTTTGTGAGTAATAGCAGAAAGTCCGTTGAACTACCGGGCGAATCGAGTCGCCTCCCAGGATTATCTGTGCTGACTGTGGCTGTTTTTCAGTACAGTTCTACTAATTTTCAGTGAAGCTACTTTCGAAGAACCCTGACGGGTTGGATGTTCTACAACCGTAGTTCACGAACTAAAAGGATCCCTCATGTTACATGATTCTATCCTAAAACTGCAAGTAAAACTTAAAAAAAAACTATTGACAAATCCCGACATGTCTTTTTAACATCTCAGTTCAATCCATGACGCTTCTTTGAGCAAGAAATATAGTTTGTAAACAGAGAGCGCCATCTTACATGGTCAACGTATCTTCAGGTCACCCCAGCATTCCAATGTGTCTATTATGACATGGGCAACCAGGGTGATTATGACTTGCTTTCTACAACAGACTGTTACTGTCAGATCAGTTGCCTCGAGTGAAGTAGGCTTCCTCGCATTCCTCCTACACTCTGCACACATCCAGCTCCGCCTTATGTTAGCGTGTACTCCATGGATTTGTGTTTGACAGTATTTTTCGACTACTAGCGACCTGGTCACAACTGTCATTTGGTTAGGGTTTGCAGTGTTTTTGTTCCAGCAATAGACAATAGATCCTATTCAATCGCTTATTCTGTCATGGTGATAAAGCTGTGGTCATTCATTTCTACTCCCTTTGGTTTATCACACATTCTTGTAACTGTGGCAGCTGTTTACACAGTCTTTGAAACGATCTCTGTGGGTCTGTTTGAACTCACCGAGAATGCCTTGTGTCATTGCCGCATTGACGAACAAGCTGCAATTATTTCGAAACTGTTCGCTTACGATTCAGTTTTATACTTGCCTACTGTTAAGGGTCATACAGTTGATTTCCTCCCAATGGTCGTTTTCATGTAACTATGTCATTGAGGTTTGTCCCAAGAGGGTATTGGTTCCTGAACAGTTTCCGTACGGTTTTGCAGGAAACTTATCAAGATTTGGGTAATTTTTCCACTCTTGGAGTTGCCAAACCTTTCTTTTCATGACTGCAAGCGCTCGTCGTACTGTTGCATTGATGACATTTCAGTTCTTCACATGTTACATACCATTATTTGATGGATAGTCAGTTAGAGATACCTCTTTTGCACTACATTTTTTGAAGCTAAATTTAAATTCCGATGCCGCTCCAGTTGCACCTTGCTCTACTCTACTACTGGTATCAGTATAAACTCAGCGATGCTCATCAACAGGGTTTAGGCAGGCAGATAGCTAGGAAACTCATCGACCACTGGTCTGTTTTCCTGTCCCAGTTTTTGAGTGAAACAACTGAGTACGTCCGACTGTCATATTCTACCAACATTATTGGCGCTTCATTGTAACTTTTAGGTCTGCTCATGCATCTGTCGAGTTGGTTGTGCACCGAATTCAGTAGTTTTCGAGACCAAGCGAATCACGACCATTTATTGCAAATGTTAGTAACTTTGGAATCCGATAACCGGCACAATCGGCACTACAGTGATCGATCCGCTAGCACGTAATCGAAGAATTGAAATGCTGGTCAGATGACAGCTACGCACACATACGGTTGCTAGTATGAGCGATTAGTGACAACTCAGCACAACGTACCAATGAGTTCATATTGTGCGTTAAACTAGACAAACAACACAATCTTTCCTGCTTAGGGCAGATGAAATTTGGTAGATCACGCTTGCTGAGTAGTAACCGGAAGTTTGGAGTAACCGGTGTGTGTGTGTGTGTCAGACTGACGGTATGCGGTTCTCAACTTCGTCCGGGGAAATGTTACTGTCTAAATCTATGAGAATCCGTGTGTGTGTGGTCAGACTGACGGTATGCGGTTCTCAACTTCGTCCGGGGAAATGTTACTGTCTAAATCTATGAGAATCCTATGTGGTTCCCTTTGTATCGAGTTGCTGGTTTGTTTGTTCCTTCGTTTTGTTATAGCTTGTTGGGTGGCAGTGGGTGTTCAATGACTCTTAGTCCAAACAGTTTTCTGTCTAGCAGTCGTGCCTCCCTGTCCTGTCGATCATGCAGGATAATCCTAATAGAAAAATAAATAAATAATAATAATTGTTCGGCTGTAGCGCCCTTTCGCTGCCTAACTGCCATGCCATCCTAAGGAAGCTTGACGATTGGGATAGTGCGAGGTTGCCCAAGCCTAGACAGGGGAAGTCGATATGCAGAGGTCGGGTTGAAACCACGGATCTTCCGTTCAGTAAATTTGCGCTCCAACCACTGAGCCACCTCGCCCCAAGGCTAATAAAGGACGACTCTGAAGCTTGAACCCACCTCAGTCTGCAGCAGGCCGTAACCCAAACTGCGTTAACCTAAGTAGGGTAACAACAGTAATAATAGTAGAGGTAGAGCTGGGTGTGGATAGTCTCAAGCATGGTCTTCCGAGACTGTGCAGTTGTCTTTTTTCTCTATGATGGGCATCTGAAAAGGGGTGTGCGCGACAAATCCAATCACTATCTTACAGGTTTATCACGAGCGAGCATGCTTTCTTGGGTGAGCACCAACTGTGCGTTCATGAGATGTTCGCACATGACTGGAGCAAACTGATGCTCAAACCGACTGTTCTGCGGAGCGTACCGAATTAATCGCAACGGAACTCAAAGTGTACAGAAGCAATATTGTGGCCACGAGCAAAACGGTTTCACCCGGAAAATTTTTTTCTGGGTCCACTTCCTACTGGATCGGCTGCTCAGCAGAAAAAATAGATAGGGTGTTGGTTCTGTCCTTTCCGACCGCATGATTTATAACTGTAGAATCAGTCCACGTCATACATTGCAGCGCCTAAGAGTGACCTGTCAAAGTTGCCTTACCTCAATAATGTGTATACGCATATGTACGCCATGTTCATCAGAAGGCAACATCGATGTTTGCACTACTGTTCGTTCGGTCCCCAAACCTTTGTACATGGTTCGGTCGAGATGATTTCCCGTTCCTAGTTCTCAGTGGCGTGCCAATAATGTTCGCTTTCCACACGTTTCAAAAGAAGCACCGTCCGGTAGGTGCTCCTACTCAACGGTCGCTTCTTCCCACTTGATTAATCGTTCACCAATGAGGTGTTCAAGAGGTGCGCATCGCACGCAATGCGATGAGCCGACTGTTGAACAGACTATCAGCTTGTCCGAACATCCAGCTTCGCAATCCATACTTTGTTAACTACCTCTTCGGTGTCACACCGAAAAAATCCCAAAATCGGGTTGTTATATCAAAATCAACTGACCTCTATATTGAAGAACCTTAACCCGCTTGCAGCACTTTAGCTTCCAATGAGAAATGATCGCGCCGGACAACTGATCTTCATGCACTCTGAATGGCTTGATTACAGAAACTAGCAGATGAGAAAATTGCTTGCCGAAAATGGAAGATCATTTCTTATTTATTTTGCTCACTGTGGCAGAGAGGCGAAAAAACCGAAGGGCTTGATTCAGCAACTGAAAAGCACTAGAACAACGCATTTTTGAAAAAAAGTGGACAGACTAGAAACTTGTTGTTGTTTGCTACCGTTACAAAGAATCCCACGATACCTTGGAACCCTCACAGAATGCGATGCCGAATTGACCTTTAGATGCAGAACTGATGATGTTTTGATGCAAGCACTCAAACAAGCTCCTGAACTGATCTGCGAACGTCGATTGGACTGTAGTGGATTGAATATTTTATAGAAAAATGAAGCGGCCAGTGAATCTACCTCCGGCCCTTGAGAGGCGAACATGCAACATCCGAATAGAACAACAGCTGATGAAGACATGTCCACCCAACTTTGTCGAATTTTGTTCATCATCTGATCACATCATCTGAGCTAAATTGAATTTAGAGGTGCACTTTTGGTGTTCCGCCGAGCGAATGAAAGTAAAATTTCATCCGACAACTTCAGAGGCATCAGTCAGCTGAGTTGTTCGGTTAAGCTGACATGAGGCGGAAACATTTGGATTCAACTGTTTGATTACCACGATATAAACCTTTGAACGACATGCCTCAGCACATTTCGATGTGTCTTCGATTATGCTAGAGATGACTTTCTACGATCATAATCTTGTTGATCATGAGGAACTCAACCATGGATAGCTCCAGAACGTCATGCGGGTGCGGTCTGGGTTCGGCCTATTCGTAATACAAACCACAAATTTGCGAGAAGCTGAACCCATTGGGTTCATCTGGAAACGAAGTGTTTTGTTACTTTGGGCATTCCTACAATAATGCTTGAAATGACCTATGATCACCTCTGTAAGGACCAATATGAACACCGGCCAGGACTAGCTAGTCGTATTGTGCGTGCCATTCTTTGCATAACTTGTGAATGTCAACTGTTTCATTGTTCCCACCTAATGTAATGATTATTGTTCATCAACTTAACATGCTTGTGACTGCTTTTGGCCTTATTCCGTTGGGCTTACACTGGGTAAAGGTCACTCGAATAATTTCACCAACAGCTTAAGAGAACTTGTATGTGACATTACCTAGTCTGCACAGAGCTTATCAGCCAATTGGGATGTGAGAAAAACATATTCGGAAATATATTTCGGTTTAGTGTTTCCAAGGGGGCTGATCTTTCTATGCATAGTATTTATTAATTGGGCTCTGTGTTTTGGATTGCTATTAGACATTGGGCGACTCTCCCATTCGTATGATACTGTATTGTGGTCTTCATTCACTGGTTCTTTCTGAAAAGTATGTTAACGCAATCGGAGAGCGACACAGGTCCATATACAGTATGGCTTTTTTATTCGCTTTCTTACTCGGTAACTATGCCACGAATGGTGAATTCAGTAGAATAACTAAATGTCAATTAATTAAAGCGGGTCGACTTTCCGGTGGGAACAGTGTTGTCCACTGTTGGCAACTGTTTTGAGCCAGCCAGACATCAGTGTGCCTGGTCTCAACCATGTTTTTATACTTTCTTCACATTGCAGCCTCATTTTGGAACGCAGCGTGCTGTTCTATTCCAAACGATTATCGCGCCTGACGGCTTGCGTGATCGCCGCAGTGTCTCTGTTACATCCTCTTCAATGGTGAGCATATTTGTAGTGGTTTTCTCTGTAGGAAGTCGTTTCGAAAACATTTTTTTCTCGTTCACACACACTTCAGTGTGACTTGAGTGGTTCTGGGTCCACCAACATTTGTCTCAACAGATAGTGTACACCGATCGCAATCTCTGTTACGTTGGTGTGTACGTTGGCCAATGTTGTAGGCTTGTTTTTATTGGACTCGTGACTCTTCGGTCACGCGACTGTTCGGCTAACGTCTACACGCTGTTGACCTGAGAACCATGCGGTCGTTGACCACAACTGTACTGATTATGCATTTGATTTGCAAGCTGATGGAGTCGGATGGCTCATTGTTCCAACACCCACTTTATAATCAACAATGAGAACGAAAGCTTCGCATAATAGTGCTTTTCAGATCGTCCACTTGATTGTTGGCAATTTCGCTTTAATGCAGCCAGCGTAAAGACGATGCTGTTGGACACTATTGTTTTTTACGACTGAATTCTGGAGAGATTACATCTGGTGCTCAGCGGGTAATCTTATAATTTAATCAATCGTGGTGATACATCTGAAGTATCCATTATTTTTGTGCGTTAAAGGAACGGTTTCATGATATTCTGAAAATCATGAGTGGTGGTAGACGCGTGGTACAAATCTCGGTCATCTATCAGAAGTAAATCGATTGACCGATTAAAGGAATATGTTGTACCAAGCAGTACATAATGCCATTTAGTAAGGTCGCTGGAACAAGGGATTCATAGAGTCATTGCGTCATAAAAGAAACCGGAAACTGACGCTTCTGTGTGGGTGCGATTGATTTTGAGAGGTTGATTCACTCAGCTTTACCTAACATCTTACCTTAGAGCAGAGGTCTCCGGCTACCAACTTGAGCCCACAATTCGATCATAGGTCCAAGGCCAGCTTCATTCATCTCAGTAACCAAATATTTTGCGTTTGTTTTGTTTTGCTGCGTTTGCTGGCACTTTTGTCGATAGGTGGTGAGGCATTGTCACTCCCCTCCTCAAACTCGCAAGGTTACGTTCCAAGAGCGCACGCTAGCGGCAACATCGCGAATTTCCGGTGTGGCAAAATGTGCATGGGTTCAAGTCTTGAGTATGTCCTTCATATCGGATCCAAATTCCTAAACAGTGTAAAATGTAAAACCGTATACTATACAGTATATTTCCCGCAGTGCTAAAGTTTAAAATTCCTGCATTGACCCGTGTGTGTCCCGTGTCGTTTCCTTTTATATGCGCTGGTGTAATATGCCTAAACGCACTAGTCGTTCAGTTCAATAAAACATATCACAAAAACTCTATCCATCTCGGTGAAATTACAGCAAAGCACACGGGCGATCTCTTGGAGTGAATGCCTTGATTGGAGAAGGTGGTAATTCACCTGTACTGATTGCAGAGCCTGGGATTTACAACTCTCCATATGGGCTTTCTTTCTCAAGGGTCGTTGAAAAATTACAGGATATCTGTTTGGGTGAACAATTAGTCGCGTAGGTCCCTACTTATGCTCTTAGTGTTGGAAAGTCGAATATGTACTAACTTACTCAGGGTGGATTTCTGATACAGACCGTGGAGCTGAACCGTAGACCGGTCCGCAATTAAAAATTGGATATCCTTGGATTGATGAATCTGTCCCTGGCTTCAGAATCTTTCAGTTGCCAATCGGCTACCAGACCCACGCGAATCATTTCCAGTTCCGGTGTTTAGCGTCCTAGATGGCTGTCCCGCACGGTTTTTGATGCCTAGTTCCGTATACAACGACACCATTCTCGCTAAGCGTCAGGGATCTGAGTGTCATTGTCACCCTGAACCATGAACTAACGATAAATAGATTTTGCGCATTGGATAGTACAGCCCACATTCAGGACGTAACATGCTTCAGACCACTGCTTAAGTACCGTTGGCTTTGTTTTGTTGCTGGGATAACCAGCAACCATTCATTCTGCTTTTATCCGTACAACCGTGCCCAACCTATGGATATTCTCACGACCTTGTTTTGTCGATTGGATCTTGTTTCCGGAATGGAATTTCTTTTCGCACACAGAATTAGGCAATACCTTTGTCCCAGTGAGTGGACAAACAACGTTTTAGCTACTCCATGCAAGTATCAGAAGTACTCAGTTTACATATCCTACCGATACGGCCTGAAAACGGAATGCGTTCTTTTGTCAAGCAAATGCGTCCACTACCTCAGGGATCACCAAAGTGCTACCTCGCTACATGTCAGGTGATATAACGCGGATACTGCACGTGTACAAACGCGTAAGGTCATCTATCCTCATCGACCGTGGGGTATGTGTTACGCTTGTCCATGACAGCATTGTTCTTGTATTTAGTGCGCTTGACCACTAATATGGATTTATGCTGTTTCTTGCAAGTTCTTGCTTGTCAAGTTCGATTCGACTTTTATTGACTCTACATAGGGTGAACTGAGTTGCATTCACACCTATTGGCTTACAACTTCGGTTGCTATTACACGAACATACAGATCTGATCTCTTCCTACCCTTGGTTATGCTTGCCCAGTCAAGAACAACACACTGGTTCCCTGAGTGTGGGAACCTTCTCCAAGAGAACCCTTTGGTCATTAGGGAATTTACCATGCAATTGACAGACAAAGCACCCAACCCTTAAAAAGAAACCATTTTTTCATAAATCGGAAACTGACACCTCAGCTTGATGTAACGCTTAAGTTCTGCCCTGTTTCGATGGGCCGGGATGCTTGATTTGGTACCGATTGATCGCTTCTGCTGCGCTGTCCAAACACTGGCTAATGGTCTTGACAAATGAGCCAGTGGCACCAAAGTGCAATCCAATGGGAGGTATATGCTCTGACGAATCATCACTTGTACATTAGAATGTGGACTCAACGATGACTGGCCTTATGATTCTGGTTAATGCTGAGAACACTTCAAAGTACTGGTGAACAGAATCGCTCAGAATTGTTGCTGCCAACGGTCCAGGGTCTAAGGTACTCCTGTCTTAAGAAATCAGGTGTTTTTGTCTCTCAAAGTTCAAATGCAGACCGTTTAGATCGGTCGAAAAGTCGCTTCTGGATAATGCTGAACGTACAAACGTTATCTGGTATCACAGTTTGTCGGTGGGCTTTCATAGGCGTGATTTGATGGGACAGTCCAAGATGAAGACACATTCCAGTCCACCATAATGGAAACGCACAACTGCTCACGTGCAACATTGTCATTCAATTGCAATATGAGATACCGCTGAACAGTTCCAGTCAATGTCATCCTCACCAATAACCTCCATATTTCGTCAAACAGTAACCTAGATGCTCATTTCGGATAGGATGGAATTCACAGGGGAAAACTCTGAAGTATTTTGTCTGAGCCTTTTGTTGACCATCACTCATCATCATTCGTCTCCGAAACAACCGCACTTTATTGGCTTCTACCGGTCCTACTTGAACAAGTTGATTGCGTTTCTCAGAAAGTATGTCCATACAGTACGGCCAATTGTGTTGAACTTGCCGTTTTCTCAAATTTTATTCACCGAAATTCATTTGAAGGCATTCAACTTTCCAACTCTTGTCGTCCACTGCGGTTGTTTACTAAATTCTAACCATTTTCGGTTTGGCACACATAGTACTCGTGAAATATCAATCAGCTCGAGGAGCTGATTTGAGACGCTAACAAAACCTTTGAACCGAGTGCAGTTTCAGGGTATATTACGTCACACGAACAAGAGCATTCGGAGACACTGACCTTGAAGTTTCTCTAGAGTTTAGCTTCCAAATTCTTGAATAGATTCACTATTGTTGCTTCGGATTCGTGTACGTAATTGAAGAGCTAGTTCCGTTTCATACGCACATTTTCGGAATAATATGCGGACTTTTCATAGGGCAGCCTATTTTAGGTATCGATTTCTTTACTTGAGCAGGAGGGTATAAGCACTACAGTACTTGATTACTGTTAATGTGACCTGCTTGTCCGGGACAAGAGAAAAAAGTTGTTCCTTGTAGAAAAATTTTCCATATGGTATGATCAGACGGCGTCTGCACTGCGTAGAAATGACACTCCAAACCGTAAATGACCCCCATTGTGACGTAAGCTAGCATGACTCCTTTTTTCTTTCCAAACAAGCTATGTAATGCGAGTCACTAGGATTAAAGTTCGTCCGTTACCAGGCGTTGCTCTCTTTTTCATGGCTTAAATTAGTTGTCCAATGTTTGAAAAAGAGTTCATCCTCATCATCTATGTGGATTTTAAAGGTAAGGACTAAAGGCGATTGCGGTGCATATTGATGGGCTTGTTCATTTTCTAAGTAGCCGCTATCTCATTGAGCACAACGCTCAGCAACTTCCACTTGAATTCGGATACGGTTTTTACATGGAGTTCCATTGGAACCTTATCCAGGAGGATTAACGAAAAAAAACCGCTCACCATCCCTTTCGATCGTATCAGTTTCTTCTCAGTCCGTTTATTACTTATTTGGCATCCATGTGGGGAAATTCCCCCCTCCACATACGACTAGAATGATATGAGTCCCATTCTTAATTGCATTCAGTCAAATGAATTTAAGTTTTGCTCGGATGGCAAGCATAACTCAACGACAATTGCGTCCTCCCGGGTCAGGTGCTTCCGACAAAACTGACCCCAATGAAACCGAACTAAACCGAATTAGCGATAATGGAGGTAAATACTTGAGTGTAAATTCACTTTCATTAGTTTAAGATTCCTGCCAATTTGTTCTTGATCAGTTCCGGAGTGGTCCTGTTTTGTGAAAAAAACCCACCATAAACAGTCTCGTTTCTTCTCAACTGCTCAGCTAGCGAACCGGTGGTTAGTTCTGTATTCTGTATCGTCTGGTTTCCCAAACACACCTCAACTGTGGCAGTGAAAGGATATGATGTCTGTAAGGCTACTCCACTTGTGTGGCGATAAAGCTGTTATCCATTTTCCTGGCTGACTAGAAATCCTGTTTGTTGGTCGCAGTTTTCGGGTAGCTGCATGGAACTCACCTCACAAATCAACTCTTCCTGTTTTCGTTGCGAAAGCATTAGAAGCATAATCCATGGTGTTTTCGTAAACCTTCCAAATTATTAATTGTGTATAGCCCCATTTGCGTTGCTCTTAGCCTCACTTGTTTTCGCTGTTTGGTATGTTGCGTGAGTCGAAATATTTAACCATTTGCCTCACTACAATCTCGTCAGTTCTAGGATATCGACTTTTCCGAAAGATTAGCATTTCCTAGGAACTGTGTTTTCGTCTCTTGCATGGTAAACATATATGAACTGACCGCGAATGATTCATACCTTTTTCTTTGGCACTTGCACAACCGGACCGTTTGATCGCTAGTCAGTAACACTTCCATAACAAACCACACGGTGTCTTTGTGTTTACCTCGATTTCATTGCGCAGTTCATCCCACGTTATCTCTCTTTTTGACTCGCCACGTTTAGGGTTCATTCATTCTACCCGCTGATTCCTAAAAAAGTCATCGAGGTATTGGGGTAAGTTGTCGTTTCTGTGTCCGTGTTCATTACGTGTGTTCGTCTTATTTTGTCTAGATGTCCGGCTCCGTTTGTTGCTGGCATTCACTCTTGCAATCTACAGGTGAGCGTTGTCCCATAAGCTGGTACAACAACGTGTTTTGTGTATTTACCCTTTTATCATTTCGTTTGCAGGCCGCTATGGAACACGTGAATTCGGGCACATGTGTGGTTGATTTGGACGCTGGGCGAATTAATCTGTACCAGTCATCCGAGTCTACGGAAAATGATTCGGATGGAGAATTCGCGACACCGAAAGCTGTGGTGCGTGCCTGGGTTTTGTTCTCTAGCTTTTTATGTTGTCCGCTGTGTGTTTGTCAAATTTTATATCATTTAGTGAAGCACACGTCCATTTGAACGATGTGGTGTCAGCTTGCCTGATTGTGATCAGGTGAAGAACCATTTGAACCTGGAAAGAATTTCCTTTAAATCTGACTTTAGTCATCACGAAGCTACAAGCAACCGTAGACTGATGCATCACATCAGCTGTCGGATCTTCGAACTACATTGCTGTGGCGAAGCGGTTACCGCTATATTCTCTGCTATATGCTAGATGGCTCAGCGGTTAGAGCCCGAATTCACTAACCAGAAGGTCTGTGGTTCGAACCCGACCCCTGTCTCTTGACTCCGAGGCTTGGGCAACTTGTCAGTACCCCACCCTCGTGCTTCCTTTAAGTAGCATGGCAGCTAAGTATCAAAGGGGGGTTACAGCTGAACGATTTTTCTACTGTACGCCTCACTGTATCTGGGACTGTGTTTGGGAAAGTCAAGTCAAGCGAAGAACAGTTTTATACACAACCAGATGATAAACCTCTTACACAGTCTCCGAAATAGCAGGAAGGCTTCCGATGGCCGAGTTAGTCATGTGTTCTCACGTTGAATGAGTGCGCTGTCACACCATCCCCGGTGATGACTAAGTATCCTTCGTCGAAACGCCTTAAACTAAAAGCCTGTAAGATAAAAACTGTAGGGAAAATGAGTTTGGAGTAAACAATTAAAATGATTGGTTTATGGAATCTCAGAATTGTTAACTGTGATACTTCACGAGGACTGAATGATCTGGCTAGAAGTGCGTAAATCATTGCTTCCAGTTTGACCGAACATTACACCTGATTTACCATAAATCCCGCTCGGCCAAGCATCGCTTGAAGTTGGGTTACCTATAGGAATTTCCAAGTGTTACAAAAAATTTGGTTGAATAACCGAACTTTTTCTGTGGCGTGGAAAAAAAACATTGTTGTTATTGACACCAGAACGATGGGCCACACTGACTTCATCAAATAACTAAGAGTCCATCTGAACTTATTGTCTGGTCCCTTCAGAGGACAGTGTGCTATCGAACCAACTGTCACTGCATTTGAAAGCCAGTAAGAAACAATTCGAATACAACCTTATCAAGTGCTGAATTTGGTATACAATCATTAGAATATTGGTCGTAATCGGAGCACTAAAGCAGTTTTGCTGGCATATTTGCACACGTCTCAAAATTGTATGCATATTTACAACTCTCAGAGTGTGCTCGTCCCAATCCTCTGGAGTCTTCGAGCTTCGCATACATGGACCATCACCAAGTTGGACCGAAACAGTGTAGTCTTGTTCATGTGACAGTAAAACTATGCATATTTTCTACCAAGTCAGAAGTGTTCGTGGTTGTGCCTGGCAACATTGGGATACCGAAGTAACGTGAAGTGCGTACAATTTGGGTTCAGGCAGAACATAAGGTTGACCGAAACTCGGGGACTGCGCCTACCTGATGAGCCTGAAGTGGAAGGATGAACCTGGTCGTGGGCCATCGAAGTTTTCAGTAACCTGATGCGTAGTATGTTTCATCAAGAAATAAAAAAATCGCTCAGCTGTAACATCCTTCCGGTGCCAAGCTGCCATGCTACTCGAAGGAAGTACGAAGGCTGGGATACTGACAGGTTGTTCAAGCCTAGACAGGGGTAGTGGAGGTGTAGAGGTCGGGTTCGAACCACGGACCTTTTGGTCAGTAAATTCGCGCTCTAACCACTTGAGCCTTCTCACCCCTTTCGTCAATAAAGATATACGCCTAACTCGGACGGATCAGCTAAGTAGCGAAATCCACACACTGGCGTGTTGTATAGGGAAACTCAACTTTGTTCTGGCAGGTTGACGTTCCATATTGCTCCATATTTTGGGCTGACCCAGGTCAGTTCATCTGTATTCATTCAAAGCCAATCAGCAGTCTTATTCTTACAGCTCACTTAGATCGTTGAGTTTTTTCTACTGAATTCCACACCAGTCAGATCACGGTATAGGGTCCGGGTTTCATGCCTTTGTGGTTCGCTATTCTTAGCCACTCATGCCTCGCCCGCAGAATGAGCACGTTCTAATGCAAATTTCACAGACGTAGCTGGGTTTGCGTGGATAATGTTGTTTCATTGCGGGCATTCTCACTGGGCTTCTTGCCTGTGAGCTTGTGTTGAGACCCTCGTACCGTATAAAATCGGCATGTCTCCCCGACAAGTGTTTCATCACCATCTGGTTTGCACGACAACGCTTGGAAATATCACTTCACCTGTATGGTCTAGTCCCTCACTAGTGAATGAATCTGCCGGCCAGAGTCACCGAAATCTGCCAGCATTTGATATTCTGTGATACTCGCCTTCGTATTCACCGTAACCATCCACAAATTCAGCCGTCCGGTTGACGTGTGAATACCGTTTCATGTTCTGCTTTGCCTCACTTCAGATGATCCATTACTCGCATGTACCGTTGCATTTAACCTATGAGTACCAAACTGATGATGTCTTACGCCATCTATCTCCGAACCGAGTGTGGAGACGTGGGGATTGGATTCTCTCTTTCTTAGCATCTTCGAGCACCACTTGGACACAAGGCAGTTAATTTCCTAACCAGCTGTAGACGGGCTCACCAATGTCAACAAGATTGGGGTGAAATGTACACAAGAGCAAAACAATTATTAAGTTTCAACCAAACCAAATTATATTGACTATTCTGACCTTCCACTGTTGGACGAGAAACTTGGAACGCATGTCACAAACGGGCACCAGTCTTTTCGTTGCTTATGCGTGCGTGTAGAGCGAAACTACCCAGTTGGTGACCGTTGACTGCATTTTTCCGTAGGTAATTGCAAGATTCAATTGTCCGTTGATTCGCATTACGCTAGTTAATTTGATCACTCCAACTAACTTCGTTCCCCCAGCTGTTGGCATCCCAGCTGACTGTCACATGACTCCAAACAGCCTGCAAATGCTTGATTCGCGTGACGTGTAATCAGACCCACCACCTCATCGCTTTACCTCGTGTCACATCAGATCTGTCATTTGTGTGTTACATTAAACGCATAGTTGCTTCAATAAGAGAACCAGAAGACAGCGCATCACTATCAGAGCGAACACGTGATTTCTGTGACCTTACAGCTTTGGACCTATCATTGAAAATGCACTGACAGTTGAAGGTCAACGGAATTCGGACAAAGTTCTGATCGTGCAGTTCCTCTGCTACGGACATCAAAGAATAAATGCTAATGGGTACAAACATAGTGATATAGAAAGTTAACATGCTCAAACTTCCATTCTTTTGGCATCAAGCTGTGTGAGATCCTGAAAACCGTTCCAACTTTTGCTATGTAATCAGAAGGATGGAATTTTTCTGCACCACCTTCGTTGTGTGCTCGTAACGGTGTTTTTTTTCGATTGTTTTCGGTCCTCGGTGGAAATTTCCAAGTGCTAGCGTATCTCGGGGTTGGTTGGATGAGTGAATTTATCTTCATCTACTTCAAGCTTTCTGTTACCAAAGGACATTCCCTCTAACGTCCTTCGCTTTACTTTGCTTTGCTTCGGATGCGAGATTTCCACATTCAATTTTCTACCCATTGTTGATTGTCTATTACTCTTTCGTAAAGGCATCTCATAATGTGGGGATTGTAGAATGTCAATTTTCAAAAGTTGCTTAGACATAATGTGCCTTTTTGCAACCTTCATGCCCTTCCATTTATTTTCATACAATCTTTATTTCTGGCAACTCCACTGCATTGCTCAGAAGTTCACAGGTATTTCTTTTGAAGGGCGCGCTGGCTGCCGAAGTCTCACAGTATTTAGTTGGCTGTGACACATTCCATTCTCTAAATACGACACCATCGGTACCCAGCCATATCTACTCCTAATTAGTTGTTAGTCGTTGGTGCCAAAAACACATGGAGTGAGTGTGCTAACTGTTCAAACCCAAACTGATATACTGTACACAATAGTAGCACAAGTTCTGGGCCGGAAAAATGCAAGCTAAGTTGTTTTGTACAGTCATTCTGAGAGGAATACCTGTCCATCTTTCAATTCGTTGCACCCGCATTTCGGCCTACCAACGCTGCTTAGCTGGTTCGGATCTAAAACACTTGGGCACCTGGTTGGCCTTTTTCTCTGTTTACACGGTATTTATCAGCTAGACTTTTAGACTTTGTCAGATGACCTCACACAGCTCCATGGAGTTTTTTTATGCAAGCGCAATTATTGCGCACAATGATTTGGTGATTTATGGTGTGGGTCGTGCAACCTGAACTGTTTCCCCCAGTGGTGTTATCATTAGGTCATACCGTAGGTGGAATGTGAAACAGTCCTTAGTCTCGTGACCGCTTGTTGTTGTTCAGTTGTTGAGGTTATATAGCCTTGCAATTTAAGCGATGAAGCATCAGTGGTGTGTCTGATGGTGATGATGCAAGTTCAGCTTCTGTACTATGTATGGAACCAGTGAAATCGCAGTCAAAAATCACATTTACGATATGAGATGGTTCAAGTGGTTAGAGCGCGAATTTTATGACCGGAGGGTCCGTGATTCGAACGTGACCTCTGCCTCTCGACTTCCCCTATCTAGGCTTGGACAACCTGGCAGTATCCCAGCCCTCGTGCAACCTTCGGGGGGCATGGTAGTTAGGCACAGCTGAACGATCTACGATACAGTTAGTTGTAACTAGAAGCAATAGTTTCCCTAAGAGGTGCCGAGCAATCAACGACTGGCATACCATGCTTTAATGATGCTATTCGAAATGCAGGACAAGTTTTAACTTACTCATTTAATCATCCTTGGCCGGTACATCCCACGCCAAACTAAGTGGTTCAGTCCAATAGATCACATTTTGAGCGTGCACTGCAAATAAAGTTGAATGAATTGTTACGTTTAGTAAAAAAGTGTTCTTTATTGAATAAAGCGACTTGTTTTGTCCTCTAAAAGCAGTGTCTCTATCCGGGCTCCATATAGTCCTTGCTATTTTACGCACGCACGTTACA